TCCTCCCATCTCAGCTTCCCAAAGTTCTTGGATTACAGGCATGAGCCACAGTGCTCGGCCAAATATAAGTTTAACTGTTTTATACCAGAAGCATGGCTCAGTCAACCTTGACACAGTTTCTAGTTTTACACCTCCTTTCAGTTCTTCAATGTGGTTGATTCACATATCTGCTGGTCATGGGAACAACAGAGCAAAGGTTGCTGCCTATGCATTAGAAGTAGAACCAACCACACCCAAATGGCACAAGCCAGTGGCCAGAGATGAGAACTTTTCTGCCTAACAGACTGGGCCCCTCACCTTCCCACTGCTTCTTTTAAATGGGCCATTCAGGCATTTGCCCCAAAACTTTAAAGTGACCCATATCTATTTCATATATACTACATATATACTGCTAGTTACCTCTGTCTCTCTCTTCCTCTTTCTCTCTTTCTGCCTGACTGTTCCTGCCTTGTGTGACCCAGGGATGGAGGACTGCCCTCTCAATTCATTGCACCCTCCCTGCTCAGGGTCTGTGAGTAATAAATCTTTGAACTTCTGTTGTGGTGGTATATTGAATTTATCCCTTCCATCTGAAGAACCAAGAGCTACCACAATCTGCTGGGTTTTTTCCAGGATGCCAGGGAGAACACAAAGGTAGGCTCCCAGTGGCAGAGCGATGGCCAGAAAGGCATAAACTGAACACAAGTCAAACAGGAGCCATATCTGCCAGTATGAACAAATTTCCTGTGTGAGAGACACCTGGTCACAGGTCAGACAGCGAGGCATCAGGCCATCTGTCAGGTAGGTGTCCCATGAAAGGCACACTGTAAACACCCATGTCCAGTTCCCCTTCATTTCCCATTAGGTCAGGGTTGCTAGCTGCTCTTGTACTGGAATACAGATTTAGCTGGTGGCTCTCAAGACACCTATACCCATCATACCATTATCACAATCAAGGTAATAAACATATCCACCACCTCCAAGCGTTTTCTCGTGTGTGTGTGTGTGTGTGTGTGTGTGTGTGTTAAGAACACTTAACATAAGATCTACTCTCTTAACACATTTTAAAAGCAACATACCATATTGTCAACTAGAGGTACTATGTTGTGCAGCAGATCTCTAGAACATATTAATCTTGTATAACTGAAAGTTTATATCCATTGAACAACAATTTACCATTTCCTCTTCCCCATCCTCTAGCACCCACCATTCTATTTTCTGCTTCTGTAAGTTTGACTATTTTAGGTACCTCATATAAGTGGAATCATGCAGTATTTGTCCTTCTGTGACTGAATTATTTCACTTAGCATGATATCTTCCAAGTTTACCCATGGTGTCACAAATGATAGGATTTCCTTCTTTTTTCAGGGCAAATAATATTCCATTATATGTATTATATATAGTACATTCTCTTTACCTGTTCATCTATTAATAGACATTTGGATTGTGTCCATATCTTATTGATTGTGAATAATGCTGCAATAAATAGAAAAATCCAGATATTTCTTCAAGATCTGAATTTCAGTTCTTTTGGATTTATACCCAGAAGTGGGATTACTGGATCACACAGTAGTTCTATTTTTAATGTTTTGAAGAACTGCCAAACTTTTCCATGGTGGCTGCACCATTTTATGCTCCCACCAACAGTGTGCAAGTGTTCCAATTTCTCCACAACCTCATCAATACTTTTTTTTAATAATAAGACCCACCCTAACAAATGTGAGGTGTTGTCACATACAATATCCATTTTTTTAAATTAATGTGTTTAGAAAGTGTTAGCAAAATTCAGCTCATGGTCTCTTTTTATATGTCCCATGAGCTAAGAGTGATTTTAAAAAATATATATATTTTTTTGAGACAGAGTCTCACTCTGTTGCCTGGGCTAGAGTGCTGTGGCATCATCATAGCCAACAGCAACCTCAAGCTCCTAGGCTCAAGTGAGCCTCCTGCCTCAGCCTTCCAACTAGCTGGGACTACAGGGATGTACCACCATGCCTGGCTAATTTTTCTAATATTTTTTTGTAGAGATGAGATTTCACTCTTGCCCAGGCAGGTCCTGAACTCCTGGCCTCCAGCATTCCTCCCACCTCAGCCTCCCAAAATGCTGGGATTACAAGCATGAGCAACCGCACCTGGTCGCTATTGATTTTATTGTTCACCTTTTCTACTTTTTATATTCCATTAACTTTTTTACCTGAACTTTTCCAGTTTGTTACAAATAGATTTAAAGATGGCAAAAGAAGTTCTCCTTCATATAATTCAAATAAGGCGATTGCAACCTCTCAAATGTCTTACTAAAATATTCCAAAGTGTCCTGTGAATTGCAGTTAAAATGATGTATTTTATCTTTATCAACTTTTTGAGTAAGCTCTTTGCTTTTTTGTGTATGGAGGTTTTTCTTCCAAGTCTTTGAAAAATATATTTTAGAGTCCTTAAAATGTCTTTGACACATGTTGCCAGGTTTGTACAGCTTTTGTATAATGGATAATCCATTATATTACACTTACATTTTTTTAAAAATCTAAGTTGACATGTTTATTTAAAATATTCCATTTGTAAGGGGAACCTGAAAATAAAATAACTGTTGTAAAATAGCAACATGGTTAACAACTTTGGAGGAAACTTTTTCTCTTACAGATTACAGGAATGAGCTACACATGGTGTAAATCCTGCACACTTATTCATATCTTTAAAGAGTGCTGGAGTGCTTTTCCTCACCTTTCATAGTGGCCATGTTGTCAGACAACTCTACATGGATGTTTTCAACTACAAATTACTAAGTCCAAGACTTTTTTCCCCCACATTATTGAAAAAGTTGGTGAAAAGTTAAAAACTACCCATAAGGTTTGCAATCATAACAGTAGAGGACAATTATGGCCAATTAATCAGTGTTCAATTATGGCCAATTAATCAGTGTTGTTCACATCTGGCATAGAACCTACAATAACAAAGCAGCATTTGGTGTCTTGTTTATTTGTGAATTCTTTCATTATGTGTATGTTTCCCATTATTTCAAGTCATTTTTCATAAACTGTTACTTTTTGGGTGGACATATTTCCAAGTTCTCATGTAAAAATGAGTTAAATTCAACAATTATTACTGAGATTCCCATTAAATTTCTATTATTTGAATCATGATCATTATTTTCATCATTATTTCTGTCTTACTCCATTTCATCCTGCTCTAACAGACTACCTGAGTTTATAAAAAGCAGAAATTTATTTCCTCATAGTTCTGGAGGCTGGGAAGTCCAAGATCAAGTCTCTGGTGAGGTTCCTTTTGCTGTGTCATAACATGGTGGAAGACATCGCATGGGCAAGAGAAAGAGAGCAAGAGGGAGCCAAAGTTGTCATTTTACAAGGAACCCACTCCCGTGATAACAAACCTATTCCCACAATGACAGCATCCATCCATTCATGATGGTGGGGCGCCCATGACCTAGTCACTCCCATTAGCTCCACCTCCCAATACCACCTCATTGGAGATCAAGTTTCTAATATACAAACCTTGGAGGACACATTCAAACCATAGCAGTTTTCTTTAAAGTATAATAAGCTCAACTACTCTTTGTAGCACTTCAAATTAATGTGGAATGTTCTTATCTGTTTTTTTTATTTATGTGGAATCTAAGAAAACATAGTGTTTTGTGTTCCATGCAATAATCACAGCTTTCAAGAGCTTTAAATATATTCTTTAACTCAAAAAATACTTCATGTAACTAGTATCTGTCTTGTTAAAAATAATTGACAAAAAAAATTTATGAATTTTTTGCCTTGGAATAAGCTATGTAGACTCTCATAAAGAATGACCATTTAAAAATATTATTGTGAATTTATTTTTGAAAAACATCTCTTTTACTCATTGCTATGGACTGAATTTTGCCCCCTACCCCAACATTCACAGGTTGAAGCCCTAACCCCTTATGTGACTGTATTTGGAGATAGGGTCATTAAAGAGGTAATTAATGTTAAATGAGGTCATAAGGGTGGGATCCTAATCCAACTGAACTGTATCCTTCCTTACAAGAAAAAATACCAGGATCACATGCACACAGAGAAAAAGCCACATGAGGATACAAAAAGGCAACCATCTGCAAGCCAAGGAAGGAAGCTTTGGGAGAAAACAACCCTGCCAGCACCTTGATCTTGCCAGCACTTCCAACCTCCAGAATTGTGAGAAGATAAATTTCTGTTGTTTAAGTCACCCAGTCTGTTGTATTTTGTTATGGCAGCCCTAGCAGACTAATACACCCATTTTACATTGTTTGACTCCATGTGAATATAATTGGAATCATAATTTTGAAGAAAAAAATTGTTGTTAACTGAAGTGTTAAGTGATATTATTACTTTTTGTAACAGACCATAATTAAATACCATAATCCTTATAAAAGTCAATGAAGTCATCAATGCAAAGCTGCTGCTGATCTTTGTTGAGCATACAGATTATGTTTTGCTTTACAATTACTTTTATATTTCTTCTGCTCTTTCATTTCTTCTTTGGGGGTGTCTTCATTCTTCTAATCTTTATCTCTTCTCTTGCCATTTTAATTATTTATATTTTCTTGGCTATCCTGAATGTTTCCTTCACAATTTTGACAATCAGCATTTTAGTGTACATTTCAATATCATCAGATTGTTTTCAGTACTTTGAAGCTTTTGTGAATCTTTTTAATTTTAGTTTAAATTTTTGGCTTCCAAAAGGATACTTTGTTTCAGGTATATTTGATTCTTAGTCTAAACCAATAATTCTGAAAAGATGTATAAAATAAGCCTGAAATTAAAACATTCAAAGGAACAATTCAAATTCATTTTTAAAATTTGCTATAATATGTGATGAACTGGAAAATTGGGTAACCAAATCACCCATATTATATACATTGGTTTATTGATGAATATGTGGAGGAATTTTGTCACTGGATCACTCCTCTGGCTGTTACATTGTGTTGGTGGTAATTTTTCTTGCCTTGTTCCCTGAACCACCAGACTTTTTCAGGATAAGATGTATCAGATAGGCTAAGGTACCTTATAATACACCAGGATGCATAAAACAGGTATCTTCTTGCATAGAACACTCATTATTTTAGCGTATGGGCCCTACAAACACAGGAATTCTGATAAACTCTATTTTGCACAATTCTGTGAAAAAAGAAAGATATGTGAGGCATATATAGTTGCATAGGCTGCATTATCGAGTATATTCTTGATAGGAAAGAACTTTTAATTTCACTATATGTTAATGAAAACTCAATCTACAACTTACAATTCTACTCATCTGATGACTGAAAACTTTTTCCATAGACTAGCTTCTGCTTCTGTACATTGCAAACCTTGTTTCCACTCTACTGCCAACCTATTCTCACTGTCCAGGTATCATTCATGTAAAGATACTCCTTGTGCTTTCATGCCACAGTGCCAGGTGAGTTGGCACAATGAGCAATTGGAATATGCCTAGAAATTATTCTTACCCTGAAAAGGATAGCAATAACCACAAGAGTGGTTGTTAACCATGTAAATATATCCTGCTAGACCCAAAATAGCATATCTCCAAATCAACTGCCACTTAGCTAGATCCCCAGAATAACTGAGGAATTCCAAAGCCACCCAACACAAGGAGAAATGTGATGAAGGAAAAGCCAGAATGGAAACAGACAGCAGTTGTCAGTAATTGGAGTTAAGATACCTTATTTGGGTGAATTTTACAAAAATGCATGACCTTATGAATACATCATTAGAGTTCCTGCCAAGAAGCTTTGTAAGAGCTTCTACTAAGGGGCCTGAACATTTCAACCACCTTAGCTTCAAAGTAAATCTGCCTCTGGACACTACTTTCAGGCTTTATTCACAATTTCCCTCACTGCATGGAATGTCCTGTCCCTTTTTCTCCTTCTGGCAAATCCAGACTCTTCTTTCAGAGGTTGATTCAAATGTAAATAATTCCCTGAGAAGGGACCTCTTATATTTTGGAGCTTTGATAAAAGATAGATTTGGATTTCAACCTTGGTCATGTGACATGCTGTTTGCGTGTCAGAAGGAAATTACTAACTTCTCTGAGTCTCAATTTCTTCATCTATAAAATATGGGTAGAATACATACCTTGCTGAATTGTCAGAATTTTAAAAAATTTAGTATTTAATCAATTCTATTTTTTTATTTTATTATCTCTCAATAGAATATTTGAAATATTGAGAAAATTGTGCTTAGGAGAGGCTTTAAAATAGTTCTTTTTCCCCTTCTAACATAATTTTTTTTTTAGATAGGGTCTTTCTCTGTTGCTTGGGCTGGAGTGCAGTGGCATCAGCATAGCTCACGTAGCTTTGAACCAACCCCTGGGCTCAAGCGATACTCGTGCCTCAGCCTCCCAATAGCTGGGACTATGTGCCACCACCCCCATCTCCTTATAACATAATTTTATTATTTGAGTGATCAATGGGACTGGAAGTAGGATTAAGCCAGCAGGACATTTGCCTCAGGTCCCAAATATAAAGGGGTATCAAAAAACTCAGTAATCAATATAAATAATATTTTAATTCAAAATTTTTTAAATCAGTGCAAAAAAATCCATGATGAACAAAATATCAAAATTCTAAATAAAGACAGGATCAGCACTACTGCTCTTTCCTTTTTCCTCAGGCTGTTCGTGGTATTGATAATCAAAACTTGATAGAAGGATCTGGAATATGATTTCTGCTTATAATTATTTCATAGAAAATTTCAATTATTATCTTTATATTTAGTTGTTTTATATGTGCTATCTTTTAACACCTCCAATATTAATTTTTCTAACATTGAAGTTTGATCCTTTACAACAGATGAATATAAGAAAATTGTCTTTATTGTATCTTAGGAAAATTTTTGTGTTACTGAAAAGTAGCTTTTTGGTTTGGAGATCTTTTAACAATTTCTATAGGCAATAACTTTTTTTTTTTTTGAGACAGAGTTTCACTCTGTTACCCAGGCTAGAGTGCTGTGGTGTCAGCCTAGCTCACAGCAACCTCAAACTCCTGGGCTCAAGCAATCCTTCTGCCTCAGCCTCCCGAGTAGCTGGGACTATAGGCATGCGCCATCATGCCCGGCTAATTATATATATATATATATATATATATATTTAGTTGTCCAGCTAATTTCTTTCTATATTTTTAGTAGAGATGGGGTCTCACTCTTGCTCAGGCTGGTCTTGAACTCCTGAGCTCAAACAATTCACCTACCTTAGCCTCCCAGAGTGCTAGGATTACAGGCGTGAGTCACCTCACCCAGCCTGATCTAGTCCACTTTTATCTACACTGAAGCAACTTAAGTTTCTCTCTCAACCTTTTTCAAAATGGCTCATTTCATAGTACTTCAGATACTTGGTACTTTATATATCAATAAGTTGTTCTTATTTTCCTTCTAAATTATTTAGCCAAAATTTATTTATATCTACTTCTCTGAGATGATGAAGTAAAACACTTCAAATAATCAACTTAAGATGTGCTCTGTTAGGAGTACTCCCATATACAGTTGATAAAATGTTTTCATATTTTTCAAGATGGCATGTTTTCATATTTTAAATACAATTTATAATTCATACAGAAAATGGGAACAGAGTCTAAAAGATTTACAATAGTCTTAATTCTATAGTTTGAAATTGAAGATAATTTTATATTAAATGTAAATAAATCCTCAAATGAAGAATAAATGAGTTGTTATCCAATTCACGATATTTTTCTCTTTTTTAATTATTTGGTTTATTTTCTGAATGAGTAACACATGTATGTGACACAAAATTCAAATGTTGCGAAAAAGTGGACAGTGAGAATTACGTCTTTCTCCCACTCATCCACAGGATTCATAGTTCCTCTCCCTGAAGGCAACCAGTGTTACCAGTTCTTGGGAAGCTTTTCAAATACATTTTGTGCATATGTGTATATATTTTTCTATTTTTTAAAACAAAGAGACTCATTTCTTAAGAACTAGTCTCACTCATTTTTGCGGTTGTATTATATTCAATTGAAAGGATGTAGCATTCTAGTCTCCTATTAGTGGACATTTAGGACATTAGTGGACATAACTAGTCTCCTATTAGTGGACATTTAGGTTATTTCTGGTCTTTTAAACAATGCAGCAGTATATAACCTTGTACATGTGCCATCTGTGCATCAATATACATCTGTAGCAAAGAATTTCTAGAAGTAGAATTGTTGGGTTAAAGGATATATATGATTATAACTTCAATAGATATTGCCAAATTGCCGTCCATAGAGGTTGTACAAAATTACATTTTCTCCAGGAAGGTACCTCTTTCCCCATCCTGGAGAACACAGTATATGATCAAATTTTTTGATTTTTGACAATATGATAGATTTTAAAAATGGCATCTCATTGTAGTTTTAATTTTTATCTTTCTACTCAATAAGTGAGGCAGATAATCACTTTGTGTGTTTTAGAGCAATATTTACTTTCAAGCTTCATTACTTGAGGAGCAGTAAATGATTTCCTTCTAAATCTGACTAGATTTCCCCCTCAATGACAAAAAGAACCTTCACCAAGTTTTAACTTTATTGCATCTGCTATTATGCCATTAAAATAAATACATAAATAGAACACTACACCATCTTAGAATATAAAAGCAGGGTTTTTCTACCTTTTTTGTAAGAATTAAAAAAAAATTATCTTTGGACTTGTAACAAACATGTAAAGTTTCACTAAAATCATTTATTAATAAATTTGAAAGTCCCCAAAATACATAAATTCTCAATTGTAATTGTTTTACACAATACCATGTCAAAATGAAATATATATATATACAAATCAAAAAAAGTTTGCCTTTAAAACAGTAACTATAATATTATTTAGTAATAAAAAAAGCAAACTGACTTAAATCTCTCTTCTAATGAAAGGTTGTCTTTAGGGGGGCCTTCTGACATGATTATTTATGAGTAATATAAAAATAGTATAAATTTTAATGTAGTATCCATAAATAGCATTATTAAATTGTTGCTAGTATTGCAACACCAGTGTAAATAAATAGTATAAATGGGCATCAATGGTAATACTTTTTTTGTTCTGTGGAATTTCACTGTCAACATTAAACTATTTTCTTTCCATCATTGCCATAGAAGTTAATCTTACTAAGTAAAACATAGTACTTGAAATGTACTAAAATGTTTTAGGACTTTTCCAGTTTGTACTGATTGTGTAGAAATTACTTAGTATCTCTGAGTTCTAGGTACAAAATGGTCTTTTTAATATCATTATTTGGGGAGGTTAGTCTTTCTACTCCCTACTCCCCACTCCACTGGCCTTCCCTGGAGAAATAACTCTCTCAAGTTACAGATAAGAGATGCCAAGTAATCAGCCAGACTGGTCAATGGAGTGAAAGATGTCACTGCCGGATCCCCTGCGTACCCTGAATAGTGGCACTGACTTCTGGAATTGAAAGGGAGCTAGCTCAAGGAGTCATTTAATCCAGACCTCTCACTTCCTGCAAGGCTCTGCCTGAAATGTCTAAGACAGATGGTTTGTCCTTAAAATTCACCAGGGACGGAGATTCTACAATATTACTCTGGAGCCTTTTCTAATGTTTAATCACTATTACTGTCAAGTCAGTTTAAGCTCTTTCCTGCTAGTTTTTCCTCTGCAGACATGGAAAACAGTTGGGCAGCAACCTCTTTATAATCACCTTTCCAATACACAAAGACAGTTACCAAGGTGCCCTTCAACCTTGTTTTTTCAAAAGTGTATAATTTATCTTCTCTTCATTTTTAATACATCAATATTTTGCCTCATTTATCATTTGGGTTACTTTTTATTAAACTCTTCCCATTTGTTATATATAACTTCTAACATGGCATTATAGTAAGTTCTTTAATTGTAATGTGTTTTATTTTAATTATTGTAGGGCAAGATAAAACTATACTTATATTTATTCACTAAATAAGTACTTACTAAGTATTTGTGCCAACAAGAAAAAGACAGACAAATCTCCTCTCATATATATTAATATACATTCTAGTAGAAGAAATCAACAATAAACTATAAAAATGGATCTATAATACCATATAATGTTATAAGAAGAATAAAACATCTTGTATTAACTAGAAAAAGACTAGGCTACTGTGATAAAGAGACTCAACAATAATTCAGTGGTTTGAAAAAGAGGTGTGTTTCTCTAACCTAAAAGTCCAAAGTGAATGTCCTGCATCATCAAGAAACTGCTTCATGAAATCATTCAAGGACCCCACTACTTCTATCATGTTGCATCACCATTCTTAAGCTCATTTTCGTCATCTCTATAGCATAAGCTGAGTCATCCTGAGTCCCAACCAGCAGGGAGGAGAAAGATATTAATAGTATGGGTGAGGCTATTCTAGGCTCAGAAATGGCACATATCACTTCCACTCCACTCTACTGAAAAGGGCACAGTCACATGGCCACACCTGGCAAGGGAGGCTGAGAAATGCAGTCTAACCATGTGGCCAGGAAGAAGAGACTGGACTTGGGGGGACTAGATAGAGTTTTGCAAACACCATTAATATTTCTTCCCAATATTCTCAGTTCCCTTTTTCCCTCTTTTTGTGTTTCTGCTTCCAACAGAAAACACTCGACTGTTTTTCAAAAGACACAGGATTCCACTTTGCCAATACTGGAAGTTCGTGGGAATTTACTTTCCCCCCATTCCACCTCACCCCCAAGGGAGCTGGTCAGCACAATTTGAGGCATAACTTACATTCCAGAATTCCCCTATGGACACAGGATGAAGTTAGCATGATATTCATTCTTGCTTGGCTGGCTTCTCTTTTCTGTCCTGCTTTCCACATTCTCTTACTGGTTTCCCCCAGGAGGACTTTCTTAACAAATCACTTGCACATGAATCCTCATGTGATGGTCTGCTTCTAGGAAAACTAATAAGACACAGGATAAAGTGTGATAGAAGGTGAGGACTGAGCTCCAAGGTATCACCACTACTATAAGAAAAAAACCTAAAATGTGTATTTTTGTTGTTTAGCTAGGGTCAAATTCATCTTTTGCAATGTGCATGTCTAATCCTACTCCAAACGTGAATGTAGTGGATCCGTCACTGTGGAGGGCAAGGACCACCACTACCATGACATGGATGTAGCACGTGGTCACCTAGGGCTCATCACCCTTCCAGCAGCGCACCTTCCTGCACTACTCCAGCAACACTCAGGTGTCCTTCCTTAACGTGGTGCCAACATTTGTAATGTTTTCTCTTATCTACACACAGGAGAGCCAAGAGTTTGAGAAATCCAAAACGAAGAATCCAGCTACCTGTGAATACGAGAAATGAGCAACTCATCTGAAAGACCCATCTCTGGGAGAGGAGTCTACATTGTCATTGCAGTATCTTGAAGACACAATAAACTTATGGGCCACACTGTTGTGATTTTTAAAATGAAAAGTAAATGCATCTGTTTCATATTCTACATTATCAAATTAGGCTTCATAAAAGCAGTTATCTTCCAACTGAATCTTCCATGATGATGGGAATTCGGTTAAATGAATGGAGTGAGTGGGCAACAAGACAGCTCAGCAATACTCACCACTGCATCACCCAACACAGACTGAGAGTGTTGCGAAACACAGGACAGCATGGATTCTAAAGCAACTGAAACACTGAAGATTCAAATACATCACACTTAATTGTTTTGCACAAGGATACTTGCTGCAGAACCATAATGAAGTCTGGGTTGGGGGGATGCAAGTAAGATTCCAGAAGGAGCAATTAATTGGCAAAAGACTAGCTGACTTAATTTTGACTTTACTAATTTTAACCAACTGTGATATCCTTCTCTGGCCCTAACAAATAAATGATTAATAATATAGAAGTTTATGGAGGGTGGGAGGCGAGTGAGGGATGAAACATTATCTATTGGGTACAAGGTACACTGTTAGGGTGACAAGTACACTAAAAGCCCAGGCTTCACTACACAGCAATATATCTATGCAACAAAACTGCACTTGTTATAAAAATTTAAAAAATTAAAAAGTTTATATTACACAGTATTTTTCACAGTAAGATTGAAGTATGTAAATATTAGACTCATTTGTGTGCTACAGAATTACTAGGTTTTATATGATTAATTGATTCAGTAAGAGAATTTCTAAAAAATAGGTTTGTAATTTAAAGTATCACTTTTAATAAATATAAAAATCAGGAAATATAGATGCTACTTAAAGTAAAATTAACCTACATTAAGATTACCTTATACAAATTTGGCCCTCTCAGAGCTCTGCAAACTTTCTGTGGCTCTGATCACAGTTACCATTGTACATTTATTTTTGTAATCATTTGATTAATGTCTGTATCCCTCACTAAACTTTAGATCTATGAAGGAGGGCTGTTTTTGATCATTAGCACTAAATACAGTACCTGACACATAGTAGGTTCTCCTAAAACTTTTGACTGGAAAACATTAATCAATATATAAATACAGAAAAACTCATATTAATTCTCAAAATAATAGTCTTTACCATCTAAAATACATGGTGCAAGTATTATTATTTATGACTCTGTAAATTATAGAAAATGGATAATACAAATGATTCTTGTCTGTAGAAATGCAAATGATTGTACCCAGTAGAATGCAATTGATTATTGCTGTATGGATAGATCAATTTTACATCTATTTGTAAATGTATTTGCATCTATTTTGAGCATTCCTTATTGCCCTTATATGTGTAGTTCTTTGAATTCTTTTTTGAATTGGTTCTAACATATTACTGTTTACCTTATTAATTATGCATTAAATAAAATACTTGATATGGGTTTATCTTATATTTGTATGACAGTCATGATTTTATCTGCTTTTATAAAATAACCTTTAAGAGCTTAACAATACCTTAATAACACCTTAAATAATGCTAATAGGTTCCTGCATCTATATACACAAAAGCATGTTGAGAATGAACTACATGAAGAATACTGTGCTATGCCTGCACAGTGTGGCAATGGAGACTGGTATATAAACCCAAAGCAGGAAGTAAATATCTTCATCACATTTCTTTAAATAATTTTCTCTAGTCAAGCTGCAACGAGATTAGTAAAAAAATTATTCATACATATTTTTCTTTTTATCATTATTATTAGTTTATGCCACCACAAAGTACTAGCAATGCACTGTAGCAGTGGTACTCTGCCTCAGCTCTCTGGGATTTGCATAACAGGGAAATATTTTAACCAGGCCATCCATGAGAATGTTTCAAAATGTTCCAGTTTGCATTTAAATTCATTGTTTTATTTTGTTTCCTTTTTTCATCATTTTGTTTCATTTTTCATACTTTATAACTGAAGGAGAATTACTTAAAATTGGAAAAAGAGATAGCTCAAGCATTGAAATTTCAACTCCATACGTGTTTCAAGGAGTGCAAAAGGTTATACTTCAGGGGGTACTAAAATTTACTTAACTTAAGACTTTTTTTTCAAACAAATGCCAAGAACTGTATCTGCTAATAAGTTTTGCCCAGCTTGGAAACCAAACTCAGCCACAAAGTATGAGAATGCCAGATATACGACAATAAATATTTTTGGCATAGTTTCAAAGCTACATAATGCCAGACATAGACATGTAAAAGTAATGGCAAGAACTACAAAGATTATAAAAGAAATAAAGTCACAGTTCGTAATTCATATGATTATGTTCAATAGCAGGCTTAGACGGCTATTCACATAATAAGATCCACATGTAAAAGCATCAGCTTATTTTACTCAGTAAAAGATAACAAATATTAAAATGGCTTTTAAAAGTAAAATTTTGTTGAGAGCTTGTAAATATATTTTTGCAAGCTGGAGAGTAACTTAAATTGTTTTTTTGTTTTTATGTATATACCCAACTTCTACTTCCCTTTTCATCACACACAGAAAAATTAAGTAAAATATTTAAAAAATGGAATCTCAAAGATTGAAACATCTTTTAAATATTGTTGCCATAATCTGTGTATTGAAACTGAAGTTTAGGAGGAAAAAAAACATTTCCCTAAAACTAAATTGTGTGTTGCATTTAGAGAAAGGATGAGGGAGAGGTGTCTGATGTTCAGACCTTGATCTGACTACTGGGCACAGATTATGAGGCTCAAAGCCAAAGTGAATAAAACAGTCCAAAGCAATTCCACCGTATCCTCCACTGCAAGATGAATAAATATATAAGACTGGTTTTTAAGGGCAGAGAATCTAGCAATATATTTTTGCTACTTAGAACATTTTATTTTAGATCCAAGAAAAATTAAGTTTGTGATAGGTTTGATTTTCACAGATAAAAGAAGCACGCTTTTGTGTTTTCCATCTGTTTAATTTATGGATTAGAAGTGGTCAACCATCAGGGTGGGCTAATGAAAAGCAAGATGAAGGGGGAAAGCTAGTGAAAGAAGAATGGAAGAAACTATAGAATCTGAAGTAAACTGTCAGTCCCTTAGGCAAGATAAGCCAGTGCCAAGAACAGCTAGCATAAGTTTGGTTCTCAGCTGATTCTCAAGCAATATCGTAAATTTTGGTTCATTTTTAAAAAAGAAATTATACCAAAATAAAAAATAATAATTCAGTAGGTGAACCAGAAATAGTCATATTTTAAGATTTTATATTAAGTACAATAAAATATTTCTTAGTAGTATAGGACTATATTGTACTGAATTTTATTTTGTCACGTAAAATATAACAATTGCTTTTGCTTCTTTTCAGACCAGTGACAATTTATGATGTAGGATGCTACATAACATCTCTTATCTAGCAACTATTATCAAAGAAAAACAATAATATTTTGCAAACACATTTTTCCTGGTTCAAAGTTTTGCCGGAAATTTTTTAACAGCCCTCTAGCAAAGCACTGTTAGTGATGAATACATTTGTAATGCATTGCTGGTGATATACACTTTTTCTTAGTTGTGAGTGAAAACGTTTGTTACAAAAAATACACTTTCCAATTGAGTTCTATTCCCATTTACACATGGATCTCTTTAATAGATGTTGAGAGTGTTGATTTAGAACTTTCAATAGGCTCGTTTACATTTTGCAAATCTCTACCTTTGAAATAAAAAATGCAGTGATCCACCCATCTGCAGACAATTAAGACCAGCAGCCAAGTATAAAAGGGTGGAGAACTTTTAATGGGTGTTTATAGATTGGAAGCACCGACCCCCTTTTAAATGAAAGAGGCCTAAGAAGAAATAGTAAGTGTTAAGGATAACCACGAAATTCATTTAACCCCCCAAGCAGAAGATCTGTTATCAAAGAATTGGCAGGATTCTACACCTTCCAACTTAAGGTCCTGAGCTTAAGTACTTAGCAAAAGTACTTAGAAAAAAATAACTTATTTAGAAGTGTTTTGATATAATTTCTTAGCTACTTTAAGGTCAAAACACAAGGCAGCAGGAAGACCAACTAAGGTATGTGATATAAAAACAAATATTTCCATAAAATCTTTGCCCTAGCAAAAAGAGAAATTCTTAGTAGGTTCAAGGTGGGAATTTAGGGAATAGTATTTTTTTACAGGAAATACTGGTTAGGCGTTTTATATAGGGGGTTCTGCATTTGTGAAGGGATAATTTGCTCTAAAATATGTGGGCAACCAGCCTAAATTCTCTAATTGAGTAGTTTGCTCATAACCCGAGGCCATTAGGTGAATGTAAACTGTTACAGGCTTAGTAAGAAAATAGTCCCATTAGGATTTTTGTATTTGTATGTGGTTGTGGGTTAGAGTAACTGTTTCCAAAATCATGGATTAATGAAAAGCTCTTTTTTTCTGAGTTTGCAAATACCAGCTTTGAAATGCTCATACTCAAATTAAGCCAAGGATTGGTTGTTTTCATTTTTTTTAAAGTTAAAAAAAAGTTTTACAAGATTAAGTCTCAACTATAAGATCCATTGTAAATTATCTAAGGAAAAATGGAGATATTTAATTGACTGGCTGTTAATAATAAAGGAAAACAGCCATATTTTCTTTGATATTATCATTCAAATACTCTGCTTATGTACTAAAATTTCCTGTACTGGCAATTGTCAAAGACCTTAATGTACAGAAAATGGGTATGACTTTTAGCAAATAAAGACTCACACAGAAATTTAAGAAATGTGTACATGTATTCCATTTGGTAATGCTCAGACGTCACACGAGCTACATATATGCTCATATTTCTGTAAAGGAGAAGACAACTTTATGTGCTGCTGCTTGTATTCAATGTTGGACTCCTCTCTCATAATGGATCTCTTCAGTTAAACAGTCTACTTCCTTTCCTGTTCTCCAATTCCTATTAACTCATCATGTTGTGCTTTTTACTAAGTATGGTACATTTGTACATCCCAGAGCAGGGCAAGGAAGGAACACAAAATAGACTACATAATATTTCTTAAAGTCAATAGCTGTAAACGAGAAAGAAATTTAGCCA